CCAGTTTGATAACGTACCGATTAGAGGGCACCCACTCATCAAGGACAGGCTGGAAGTGGAATACCCAAACAACGAAGTGTTGAAATGGGTATTGCCAACTCCAGAATTCTTGGCCCCACACTGCGACTCCATCACAACTGTTTTGGAAGTGAACACGGACACGAACCCCGAATTCCCGGAAGAACGGGAATTCTGCATAGGGGAGGAAGCATCCTCGGTCACTGTCTCGATGAAGGATGCCCCCATTTGCTTCAGATGCAGGGAGAGAGGACACCTGGGCACCGCCCCAGTGTGCCCGAGATCCCCCGAACACTCCAAAGAGAAAAAACTGAGACAGAACATGCTGGTGGAAGTTGAAGAGGCAAAGGGAATTTGGTCTGTCTCTTATACACATCTAGATGTGTATAAGAGCCCCCTCCCCCCCCCCCTGACTGCTAACCACTCCTGGCCGGGTAGAGCCCCCGACCAGGCCACGTAGATCACGCATAGCTCACGCGCATGCAGCTGCCAGCCGCCGCCACCGCGATCCCTGCAGAGGATCACAAATCCCAAACAAAACAAAACAAAACAAAAAAGATAAAGCCAATCACCAACCCCAATCAACTGTGGTAAGCAAAAGCCAAACGCCCCAAAAAGAAAAATAAAAGAGAACCCTTAACAAAAAGAAAAGTCACACCTCATCCTCTCCCCCCTCCTCCCACCCCCCAACATCAGATCGCATTCAAACTATGTCAGCCCAAAACCAGAATCGACTACCCATCTCGAATTTTTCGCAAGGTAGCCAGTTGGCCGCAGGGTCCTCTAGCGAGGCTGCATTTCAGCCAGTGACCTACTCGCTACTTCGCATGCAACCAAAGCTCGCAAAACGCTGAGCTTTGCAATCGAAGTCTCCCCCACCAAGGCAAAGATGGCCACGTCAGCCCCAATCACCTTCCAGCGCAGCTCCTACTCAGCAGCGGCGGCTAACGTAAGGAATGCAGAAAAAAAACTCACAGTCGGACGGAGGATCACGAAACCCTTCGCTTTTTATTGGAATCTCCGCAAATCAAAGGGGAAAAAATAACAAAGAAGATCCAGCAAGACGGTGAAGAAAAGGAAATCACAGTATGGTGCTATCCAAAAGAAAAAATTGACTTCACAAACGCCATGTACGCAAAACATGGACTAGTCTTCACCTTTTCCAACACAGGGGCCCGCCTCCCGGAAATCAAGAAACGCAAGTGGATCACAAGGACAGTACAGGGACATGAAAACCTGAGATCCAGCAACGACAAATTCTCTATTCTGGTTCTCAGCAGAAATATGATGATGGTGGTTTTCAAAGATGCCGATCAGGCGGCCAATCTGATCAGCAAACACACCACACTAAACTGCAATGGGTCAGTGTGCTCCCTCTCCCGCTGGAAACAGGAGAGCCCAGAAAGCTATGATCTCCCCGGCGTCCGCACAAAAACAACGACTCATGAGGGACCAATTATGGGTCCAGTTTGATAACATACCGATTAGAGGGCACCCACTCATCAAGGACAGGCTGGAAGTGGAATACCCAAACAACAAAGTGTTGAAATGGGTATTGCCAACTCCAGAATTCCTGGCCCCACACTGCGACTCCATCACAGCTGTTTTGGAAGTGAACACGGACACGAACCCCGAATTCCCGAAAGAATGGGAATTCTGCATAGGGGAGGAAGCATCCTCGGTCACTGTCTTGACGGATGCCCCCATTTGCTTCAGATGCAGGGAGAGAGGACACCTGGGCACCGACCCAGCGTGCCCGAGATCCCCCGAACACTCCAAAGAGAAAAAACTGAGACAGAACATGCTGGTGGAAGTTGAAGAGGCAAAGGGAATCTGGTTCGTTAACGACCAGGACTACAATGGATGGGTCTTCAACGACACCATCGACGACCCGAAATGGATCTGGACATACAATACGAACCCGTCAACCAAACAACCAGACATTTTCCCTCCCTCTGACAGCAGGTGGCATGCGGTAGGAGCAAAGAAAGTGACAGGTATTCCAGGCAAAATCCACAAAGATCAGATCATCGACCCGCGGGCAATCAGAGAAGAAAAAAAACATGAAGATCTGTTGTGGGATATGGAGACAATCAGAACCAAAACAGCAGAGCGTGCCAGAACACCAATCTGGACAACAACACCCTGTTGCTGGAAGCGAAACAGACCCTGGAACACCGCCACCCCAAATCAGAGACCCCCCCCGCACACAAGCGGACTGCCTCCCCATCCACCAAAAACTCCCAAGAGGACAGGGCAGGGAAGAAGAGAAGGGCAACAGAGGAGGGCTCAGGCAAGACTCCCGGTTCTGAGCACCCTCCCACTGTCGAGACCCCCCCGGGGACGGACCCGAACTCACCTGCGCTAACGGATACAGGGATGGACACCTCTCACAGCAACGCGAACATCATCCCCTGGCTTGAAGAGTACCTGCAGAAAGCAAAATATGAAAGGGAGGAGTTCGACATTAGGCTGGCATGCATGAAGCACCTGGATTCCGCAGTCCAAGAACCTTTTCGACCTGCTGAGAATGAAATCTGAACTTTCGGAGTTCAGCGCTTTCAGATATTTCGAAAAAAAGAGGGAGAGGGACTCTGCTGGTTCAGAAAATGGCACAGGCTTCGACCCTCAAACATCTGCAGATTCGATCCGAGACATGGTTTCCAAAAACTGGAAACCATCAAAGGGAAGGGACAAGAGATCAAGGGGGCCCCCAAAAGACGAAGCTGGCAGCAAGAACGAACAGCGCAGACTCACGCAGGAAATTGCAACCGTGGCAGCCTAGACAAAAGAGACTTTGACCAGAACCAAGACTACAAGAGGGAACAAGGCGAGAAGTTTGTCACAATCCGCATGATCGCAGAAAACAAGGCACCCAGCGTTCCCAAATCAGCAAACACTGATAGGGGAACCACCAGGGCAGTAAGACCGCTGATTCCAGTGCGGTACAGGAGCAAATTCAACGAGTGGCAGGTGACCACAGACGCAGCCTTCACAATCCTCACACGATGACGACAGAGCCCTGGCTAAGAACATCAGGGACAATATCTCAGCGGAGACTCCGCTGGGCGTGTAAGGGGTCCCACCACGAGAGCAGCCAGCCGAAGGAGACAAGTTGGGGGATCCGATATTTACCCCCTTCGACTCCATCTTAGTCAAGCTCGATGAGAGGGCAAAACTCAGCGAAAGCTTGACCTGGAGGGCATGGGACACAATCACAATGATGCCGTACAGCGTGTTGAACAAGAGGTTCAGCACGACCGACATCATTGCAGACTTGCTGGCAGACATCATCAGGACCCGCCTATCGACCTCTAGGACCTCGCTGCAGGACGAGGCAACCCCCATCGACGTGGACATGCGAAGGGAAGACTCCGACATGGAGGACGAGGAGGACGGTGAGAGGGAGGAGGACGACAAAATCTCCCCAGGGGGAGACGACGTTGTGCAGCCAACGACGTCGGGGAGCAGCGCCGGCGAGTACGGATTGAGCTCCTCAGCAGCAAGCGGAGACAACAGGGACTCCGACACCGACAGCAGCAAGACCCAGGCAGTTGTGGACTGAATCAACAGACCATAACAGAAATAAAACCCTGCCCTAGAATCTAACGATGTCACAGCAGCAAGAACCATCGAAAATCAGACAGGGAAAAATAGAAAATTTTATACAACAATAAGAATCAATGCAGAGCGTCACAGCACTCAGAAACGGGCAATCTAGCCCAACCAGAATAAACTGGTACACTAAGGGACTTCAGATAATCAACTAGAACATCAATGGCCTCGGAAACATTCTGACCGACGAAGACAAACTCAGAGACATACGGACCTGCCTGGTGGGGAAGGACATCCCCAAACCAGACCTTATTCTCCTCCAAGAGACACATTTATCCAACCTGAACAACCACCGGAAGATACAACAGAGGATGGAGAGAGCTGTAGGAGGATGTGCAGTCACAATGTGGTCCAACAGAGACGGCCAAAGCAATAGAGGGACAGCGATACTGATCCCTAAAGCGTCAAAAATCCTGACCGAAGGACATATCCTCAACAGTGAGGGGGATAGAGAGGAAGGGAGATGGTCGTGGATGGACATTAAGTGGCAAGGTGAGGATCTGCGAATTCTCAACCTGTACGCACCCAACACGGAATCCGACAGACTGATCTTTTTTGAAAATATCAAAGCCCTCATCCCCAACCCACAGCCAGTAATCATGGCAGGAGATTGGAACACAACCCTGGACACGAACCTGGATCGGATCTCAAGAATGGGACTAATGGGACCCACTAGAGAGAGCACCAGGATCCGAAACCTGATGACCGAATTCGAACTCTGCGACCCCCTCAAGGCACTGCACCCGGACAAGAGAATTTTCTCCCGGATAAGGAGAAACCTAGCAAATCGGACCTCGCTGTCCAGGATTGACTAGTTCCTCATATCCGAGAGCCTCCTCGGGACAGTCAAAAAGGCCGAAATCCTCCCATCAACAGCCTTCAAAGGTTTGGACCACAAACCCATCCAGATGCTGCTCAACTTCAATGTACCAGTACAAACAGGTCAAGGTTTCTTCAAGCTAAATAACTCACTATTAAGAACCGAGAGAATGAAAACGACAGTCCAAGAACAATGGGCTATCAATAAGCAGCGAGAATCAAGGAGAATAAATAGTCACCAGTGGTTCATCGATAGCTACACAGAGTTAACACAAGCAGTATCAGCGGAATCTAGAGATATTGCTAGAGACCGAAAAAGAAGAAGGGAAGAACTCCAATTCGCAATGGCCGTCGCTGAAGAGAATCTGGCGAAGGACCCAACTAGCAGCTTCTACCAAGAACTTCTAGACGACACCAAGGAGGAACTAAACGAATGGAGAAGATGGGAACTCAGAGGTTTACAAATACGGGCGAGGATGACAGACTATGCACTTAACGAGTCAATGACAAAATTCTTCTTCTCCAAAATCAAGGCGAACGCCAGGAACAGCATGATCGAGGCACTTAAAGACCCAGCGGACGCTGGGAGCACAAAAACCACAGGCCCGGAGATGGTAGGGATAGCCAGAGCCTTCTACGCAGACTCTTACGAATCCAAGACCCCTTCACCCCCGACAACAGCGAACCTAGCAGCCCGCCAGGTGATGCTATCGTACCTCGACAGAACCATCTCGGACAATCAGGCGGATGGCCTGGACAGACCACAGACCCTGGCTGAACTGCACACAGCCTTGAACCAGATGGGAAATGACAAAGCCCCAGGCATCGACGACCTCTCAAAGGAATTCTGGAGCTGCTTTTGGCCAACACTGGGGGGAGACCTACTCGACTTTTTTAACGAAAGTATGCACAAAGGAGGCCTAGGTAAGGAGTTGAGTACCAGCATAGTCTCACTACTGTACAAGAAGGGAGACAAAGAAGACCTAAAAAACTACAGACCCATATCCGTACTAACCACTCCTTACAAAATCCTAGCCAAGGCACTAGCAAACAGAATCACCAAACTAACGAACAGCTGCTTCCACATCGATCAAGCAGGCTTCATCCCAGGCCGTTACATATTAGACAATGTGATGACCCTGAATGAAGCAGCAAAAAAGATCATGGAGAAACGTATGAAGGCAGCAATCCTGTTCTTCGATTTCGAGAAAGCCTACGATCAAGTTAACTGGGATTTTCTCCACGCATGCATGGAAAAAATGGGGGTAGGACCAAACTTTAGAAGTTGGGTAAGAATTATGTACGCAGATGCAACAGGTAGAGTCCAGGTCAATAGAATCCTATCCGAAACATATCCAATCTCACGGTCAGTCAGACAAGGCGACCCATTGGCTCCTCCCATTTTTCTCTTCATAATGGAAGCCATAGCCTCATTTCTCCGCAAAGACCCATCCATCGACCGCCTCACAGAACAGAACTTCAATCCGTTACACGACTTCGCCCTACCCACGGCTCTCATGTTCGCTGACGACCTTACGGTACTCATTAGAGCAAATAACAGCTCCTTCCAATCACTGGTAAAGGCGATGGAAGCATTCAGACTGGCTTCATAAATGAGGGTAAACTGGAATAAAACTGAAGGCTGGTGGTTAGCAGACGGCACTCCCCAACCGTGAGACACAACCACACCTATGAATTGGACCACGGGAGAACAAGCACTACGGTTCCTGGGCATCATGGTCAACAAAGAAGGGGTGTGGCCGGGAATGGGCCAGAATCTGATAGCAAGAGCAATCATCCGCCTGGCCCTATGCAAAAATGCGCAGGCCTCACTAATCGGACGGGCATTACTCATCAACACAACGATCTTCTCTACACTGTGGTACATGGCATCAATCTGGTCCCCCCTCGACGACGACCTCAAGGAGCTCAAGAACAGGGTGAGGTGCTATTTGTGGACAGGCGACCCCAACAGGACCCACCTGCATCAACAGGGTCGCATGGAGTCACATTACTAGGAAGCCACAGGAAGGAGGGGGCCTTGGGATAATCGACCCAAAACAGGAATCCATAGCACTACAGATGAAATGGGTGATCAAGATTCTCACCAGACAGTTCCTCCCATGGACTCAAATGGCGCTAGACAGCATTAGAAACTTAGCTCCCATCAACTCCCCTAGAAACATGAACGGCCTGTTCTGGATCATGGCAAAGGAATGGACAATCAAGTCCGGCAGAACACGCAAAAGAAACCCCACACAGCACATCCCTGCACAGGCCAACACAAACACAACGCAGACAGGCAGCAACTATTGAAGCCCCACTATCAAAGCATGGCGCAAAATGATGCCGAGCAAACATGGAACACCTGGTAACAGAGAAGAAGTCCTGAGACATCCACTTTTCTGTAACCCCTGGATCACTCCAGTGGAAAAATCTGGACCCTGCACTCTCGGGACCGGAGGTGGCTATTGTGGGTAGAAAGAGGAGTATGGCAGGTCAAGCACATCTGGGTAGAAGACCAAGGACGATGGGCGACGGATCAGGAACTACGAACCACACTAAAAGGATGCCACGCCCTCGCCGATAACTTAACAATGATCATAAATAGCATCCCACCACATTGGATCCCCCTCCTGAGAGGAATTTTCGTGGAAGTCCGGGGATTGGGGCATATAGCCTCCCAAACCCAGCCTACCAGAGCATACAGATTCGCCACTAGAACGAACCCACCCGGCTACCTATCTAAGTTCTACTCCTACCCGATAGTTAATCACAGCACAAACGAATTGGAAATCGAGAATAACGAACCACAGAGCGAGCTGCTGGAGACGTTCCGTCTGAGAAAAGTGAGGGTATCAAAGTCCAAACCTTGGAAAATCTTCCGACCGGATCTCTGCATTTCAGAGCTAGAATTCGACCCGAAAGAATGGATATGGAAACAGGGGAACTCAGGGAAGATGAGAACATTAGCAGAATACGATGTCAAATTCGGCTATGATCTAGGCCTACAGACCTCTGACCCAGACCCCAGACTTAAAAGCAAATGGAGGGAAACATTGAGTCTGGACCCCTCGACCCCCATAACCATTTCGTGGACCAAATTCCTAACCATTAGACTGGTCAGGATTCGAAGCATGCAATGGCTCCTACCTCACGCCTTCCTGCCAACCAATCAGTGGCTCCACAAGAGAAGAAAACACACAGACCCCGACAGTATTGAAATATGCAGACTGTGCACGGACAACGCCGAGGAGGACACACTTCACTGCCTCTTATACTGCCCAAAGGCAGCATGGTTCTGGAACAAAGTGCGCATCCTATGGACCTTTCTCTTCTCATCACCCCCCCCAGCCACAACCCCCCTGTACATCCTGATCCTATATCTAACGACACTAACAATCTCAGTGGTGGCAAGGAAGTGTGGTTCCACCTTCTCAGAAAGCTGGTGCTATGGGTAATCTGGAAGAGGAGATGCTCCAAGACGATCGAAGGAACAGAGGTGCCTAGAGAGGAAATGAAAATGGCGGAAACAGAGATTCGATCCAGATGGCGAGAAATATCCTTGACGAAGAAAGGCAGACCTGAAAGGACAGCCACAAGGAGAAGTAAATTCACAAGAGACTGGCTTCTACAGGGAAAGATCGCTACATTGGTGGACAACAGATTGGTGTGGAAGAAGTGGCATAACACAAGGACAGGGTCCTTTTGATGAATCAACTGAGATTTGAATCTCAACAGCCTAGACATCTCTCCCCTTTTCTTGCTTTATATGTAGCATCTGGCAGAGTCAGCACAGACTCTGAGAGGAAAAGAGGTAGGGCAAGCTGACAGTCAATCCTCCTGA